AAAAACTTGATAACACGTGAATTTCTTTTTCTTTTCCTTTTTTAGATTGCTCAAAGAGTATTTTTTCAGCCAACAATCGAGAATTAATCCTTTCAAAGTCGAGAGATCACCAATGTCGGTATAGTCTCTATTAACAAAGTCTTTTCCATACATATGATTAGGAATCGAATCCTTCTCCACATACTTAAGGAATATAACTATCTACTAATTAACTGTGTCGGGATAACACATGAATTTCATTAAGATACATGTCGTTAGATTAAATTTTAAATATTACTTAATAAACTGTAATCACTCTAAATCTTATGCCTTTTACATATAATAACGTTCAACAATAATTTCTTCCTAACCTGATTACAATTATTATTAAGTTAACTTTAATTAATTAACTTGCTAAGAATAAATAAATCATAAATAACTATTTTGTTGGTTCAGGAGAAAAATAAGAAAATGTATTCAAGTTTTATGTTTTTTTTTTTTTTTTATCTTTTCAATATAAGAAATAAAAGGTAAGATGATATTTTTTAAAAATATATATGAATCAATATACAAATTTAATAAGGATGAACACTTAGGATTTTATTCACAGTTAACAAGTTAACTCAAAATTAACATAACTATTGTAAAAATAATTAAATTAAAAAATTAATTAGGATAAATTAAAGTTGATGTCATCTGTTTAATTAAAAAAATTAATATATATAGAGTAATGTTATATTTACAAAATTTTGTTACAAACTACACTAAGTATGACCGATCATACTTCAATCATTAGTGTATGACCGATCATACTTAGTGTAATTTTTAAAAAAATTGTAAAAAGATCCTTTCCTATATATATATATATATATATATATATATATATATATATAGTGACGGACCCATAATTTTTTTTTTATATCTGCACATTTAGGGCGGGGTTTGGGGGCGTTGTCCCCGATTTTTTTTTTAAAGATCATGATCATGTTCAATTTTTGCTTCTACTTCAAAAGTAAAGCTTTGGTGAATCAACCAAAGTTTTAATGAAATAATCGATAATGATAATTAAAAAAAAAATAAACACCACAAAAAGACATTGGTAAATATAGTATAATTGTCGCGGTTAATCGATCAAAAACTTATCTTTGTCGATGTCTATTTGATCCAAAGTTGGTCACTCTAATTTCACAAAAAGGTGAAAAATTCCGTACGATTCTCATCCACTTGATAAAGATTGAATTTCATGAATCGTTGATGTTTATTAAGATTTGGAGCTAATAAAATTTATGTAAAAAAAAAAAGAGACAAAGCAATCAGTTAGGATTTAAGTTTTAAGCTTTTAATTGTAGGGGTTGGTTGGATTGAGCCTATCTTTACCTTTTTTCTTTCAATTTTTTTTTTTTTTTTTTTTTTTTTTTTACACTTGACTTGAATCATATATCCCATGTAATGTTTTTTCCACCCAACTTTGTGTCTGCAAGTGCAGACAACTGCAAAAACTTCGGTCCGCCATTATATATATATATATATATATATATATATATATATAATTAAATTATTATGTCATACGATTCAATCAGTTCATACATTAGATGTATCTTTACACAAATTTGACTTGAGGAAAGGTAGTACTAGGATTTAGGACCACTCGCACGTAACCTTATTGCGAATATTATTTTCGAAAACATTATTTTTATAATTTTTTTGGTAAAAGTTTTAAAAAATAAATTTAAAAACCCAAAGAGAATACAAGATTATGTGTGTTTGCTTTGTAGAAATATTTTTGCTTTTAGATTTTTATTAATTATTATAGAAATATCACCTTATTTTTATTTCATTTTCTATTTTAAAATATTTATACTGAAAATGATAAAAATAACGTATTATTTTCTGAGGAAATCTTTTTTTTGTAATTATCAATAAAATCAAAGATAAAAACGATAAGTATTTTCACCAACCAAACGTGTGCTATAAATAATGATAAGTACACAGAAATTTTTTATATATTAAAATCTTAGAGACTCTATTATACAGGGGCCAAAAGTCTTCATAAATAATGATTTAAATTTTTTATAACAACACATCTTTAAGGTGTTTGACAAGATGAACCACTCATTCATGGCTAACGAGCGTAAAGGGGAGATAGTGGACTTAAAAGAATTAATTAATCTTATACGAGAAGCTTCTTTGATTGACGCCACTTGGACACTGCAATAATTGATGAATTAATCATAACATGAATTAATTCACATATATTCTCTAAATTTAATTTTAAAAATTAAAATATATATATATATATATATATTTTAAATTAATTTACAAAATAGGTCTTATTCAACAGATTTTTTATTTTTTTTTAAGTCAAAAAATTATTTTTAAAAACAAAATTTAAACAAGCCCTGAAAAGCGACATCTGTACGAATTTTTCTCCAGTAATATTAGTCTTCAAAATTATTAAAGTATCACAATATTTTTTGTGAATGGTAATACCATCATCTTAAATAACAGAATCCACTCAATGATACCAGCTAAGAATTTTGTCAAACAATTTTAATTAGCTTTAGAGCTAATCACGGACAAGAGTGAGTTGTGACAAATTTCGTATATTTTTATGAACTTGTCAACTATAGGAGGGAGGACTTTTGAGTTATGTGTAAAATTAAATTTTTTATTTTTGTTTATCTTAGGGCTTTAATATTAATTTATATAATTAATCAAATTTTAAATTTTAAATTTTAAAAAATAATAATTTTAATCTTACAGTCGAAGCAAAAAATTTATCCTTTATAAAAAACTGAATCAAAATCCATCCTCATTTATCCAAAAAAAAAAAAAAACCATCCTCAATCAAAATATTTATTTAAGTGAGCTTCACCCATATTGGACTGGCAATTGGAATGGGACACGTGGCAATCTCATACCTTTAGCTTCACCCAGGTTCTCAGATTTTGGAATGGCAACACATCTCAGTGACAGTGTAAGCACGCTAGCAGGAACACCTGGATATGTTCCACCAGATTACAACCAAAGTTTCAGGTGCACTGCCAAGGGAGATGTTTACTCATTTGAAGTTGTAATGTTGGAACTTCTTATTGGGAAACGCCCTACTGAATGATAAGGAGGACTTTGGTGACACTAACTTTGTGGGGGTGGGCCAAAATGAAGGCACGTGAAGGGAAACAAATGGAAGTAATTGACTCTGAGTTGATTTTGGCATCTCAAGGAACAGATGATGAATCAGAAGCCATAGAAGTGAAAGATATGGTCGGATATTTCGTCTGATCCTTATCCTGATAATGGTGGCAGTTGAAGTGGCAGATTTTTTTATTATATTTGTTCTTTTTATGTTGAAATTTTAATCGACTGTGTTTCTTAGAGTAGTTCAAATAATTCTAAGTGATTAGGAGTGGTATAGTAGTATCGAGTAATTTGTACGAGGTCATAAATTTAAATCTTAGTGTTTGCATTGTATTTTTAAAAAATAAAATTAATTCGTTACATGGGGAAGGAAATTTTTTTATTATTTCATTAGTATATAATAAATAAAGAAAGTGTTTATACTTACAACCTATTTTCCTTTACAATCTCTTACCACCAATATCTTAATCGGTGATTTCCGTCAATCAATGGTTAAGATTTTTGTAAATAAAATTTATTAAATAATTATTAATTCACAATAAATCTTAACCGTTGATTGACGGAAATTAACGGTTAAGATATTAGTGGTAAGATGTTGGGAAAGAAAATAAGTTGTAAGTATAACCTCTCCCAATAAAGAAATATAATCTAACAATTACAAAAAATAAATAAAAATTTTATACTTCTCATGTTATATGGGATGAGCCTTTTGATATCGTAAGACAAAAATTACGTGAGATCTATATATTTGAAAAAGTCATTTGTGAGACCTATGTCAATATAAAAATCGAAATATGCATAAAAAAATTTCTCTTCTCATTTACATAAAAAATATAAAATCCAATAAATAATTACATAATCTAATATCTAATTAATAAAGGAAACAAATAATAATAAATATTTTCTATATTTATAATATAATACGAATTACTTAATTTTTATTATATTAAAATATATTTATTTAGGAATGATTAATTACTTATGCAATTTAAAAAATAATTATTTTCTGAAATTTTTAGTAAAAAAACTCTTTCAACTTAATTACACACATATATATATGTGTATATATATGGGTTAATATTTTTTCATGTTAGATGAGAAAATATTTTTTTTTTTACACACACGTTTCAAAGGCGGAGCTCAGTTTATACTTATTCTCTCTCATCTATTCTCTCTCTCTCTCCTTTATTTTGTGAGTGTAGAAGATTGATCTTTTTTTCATGTAACATAAGAAAAAATTATCCTTATATATATATATATATATATATATATATATATGTAGGGTTTGGTATTTATCATTTTAAATGACAGAAGTTATGTTATTGTAAGAGAGAGATATATACAAGGAATGGAAATAATGGGAGAGAAAGTGTGTGATTTTTTTTTAATTTAAATTTAAATAAAAAATATTTTCTTGTGTCTATCTCTCACATAATTTTATGTCATCTAAAATGACGAACACTTTTTTCATATATTTATATATTCCTTTTTGGTTATTAATAATATGAGGTAGGATCCTTTGACACCGGTGTCAAATTTGAAGTTTGACACCTCATCTGAGAACCGTTAGATCAAAAAAGATCAATGGTGTCACATGCTTACAAATCAGAGTCGTTGATCATTTTTGATCTAATGACTCTCAGATGAAGTGTCAAACTTCAAATTTGACACCGGTGTCAAAAGATCCTGCCACTAATAATATATTTTTTAATATTTACATCTTATAATGCACCGTTACTTCATTGGATAATATGATATTTTACAATAAACGTTGCCGCCTGAGGTATAAATATGTATATATTTCCTTCTTTGCCAACTGCAGTTTCATTTATAAACTTTGTCCTCAACTCAACATCTATCTGTGACTGTGTACTCAGTTGAAGCTATGGAACTAACATCTCTTCCTGTGCCCTTTGTTCAAGAAATAGCAAAGGAGACACTGACGGGAGTTCCAGAGCGTTATGTTCGATCACAACATGAACGTCCAATATTATCTAATAATATTCCTTTACCCCAAATTCCTGTCATTGACTTCAGCAAATTGTTGTCCCATGATCTCAAGGATTCTGAGTTGGAGAAGTTACACTCTGCCTGCAAAGAATGGGGTTTCTTTCAGGTTTCCTATCTAACTTCTTGTTCCTTTTTGGCTTCTGTATTTGCTCTTTTTTTCATTGAAATTTTAATTTTAAATTATGAAGTGAATGATCTGGTGTTGGCTAATTACAGCTGATTAATCATGGAGTCAGCACTTCATTGTTGGAAAGTGTGAAGAAAGGTATTGAAGAATTCTTCAATCTTCCAATGGAAGAAAAGAAGAAGTTTGGGCAGAGAGAAGGAGATGTTGAAGGATATGGTCAGGTTTTTGTGGTTTCTGAGGAACAGAAATTGGAGTGGGGAGATATGCTTTACATGTTCACTTTGCCACCACAGATGAGGAAACCCCATTTATTCCCAAGTTTGCCTTTACCATTCAGGTTCTCTTTCTCTCTTTCTCTCATTGTTTGCTCTCTGCTTTTGTTTTTGTGCATGATAATTTACAGAATGTTATAAATGGGCAGGGACTTGTAAGATAAAGTGGATCTAATTTGTATATTGAAAACCTGGCTTTCTGACCGATGTATAAAATAAAACATAGCATCGGTGTGATTCTTTTGTCTATTCACTCCTATTAGATAAATAAATAATTTATCAAACGAATCAATTTTTACACTACAAAGGGTAAAAAACCGGAAAAACTTGCTACTTGTATGAGTGTCCATTCATGGTGTTACTGTTACATTACAACATCTCCTTTCAAAAATGGAAATTTTCCCCCTTTTTTCAACTAAGAAATAAAATTGGAATCTGAAGTACTTTCTTCTCTCTTTGCACAAGTTTAATTTTAACTCTAGATGTATCTAGAGATATATAGCTCATAAGATACGTGAAAATTTTAAGAAATAATTTTTTAATAAATTGAATATCACATGATTCTTATTAGTTTGTTGAGTACTATAATATAGACTAGAGACCTCAAAACAATAATAAGCATATTCTACTGTTACAAAATTCAAATTTTAAAATAATCATTAACTGAAATAAAAACTATCATTAATGCTGCAATTTCAATGATACATCGTAACACATTAATGCTACAATCAATGCTTAGACAGTTACACAATTCAAATGCTAAGTTATTAAGGCTTATCCCAATGTTACAAAATTCAAATTAAAAAATAATCACATCATTTAGCTGAAATATAAAATTTAATTTTTAAACAAAAATTATCATTAATGCTGCAATGATGTCATAATTATAAATGTCATTAATGCTACATTATAACACATTAATGCTACAATCAATCCTAACACCATTACACAATTCAAATGCTGAGATTGATTTATATATAGACCATTACACATTAATGCTGCAATTTTTTTCTTTTTTCTTTTGTTTAACTTGTGAGCTTCACATTTCTTGTTATTATAGGAAAAAAACTACTCGTACTAAATGAGAGAGAAGTATTATCCAAATTTTATAATACAAATAGTATAGAAGTTTGAGCATTGCTCTTGGATTTTGGTACTAAGAACAAATTGATTATTTAAATGGGCGTGGCTTGATATCTTCAATTGGTTGTTGCAGGGATGATTTAGAGACCTATTCTGTAGAATTGAAAAACCTTGCTATCCAGGTCATTGACCTTATGGCAAATGCCCTCACAATGGACACCATGGAAATGACAGAGACCTTTGGTGCAGGGACTGAATCAATGAGGATTAATTATTACCCTCCATGTCCTCAACCTGAGCTTGTGATGGGTCTCAATCCTCATTCTGATGCTGGTGGCCTCACCATCCTTCTTCAAGCCAATGAAGTTGAAGGTCTTCAAATAAAAAAAGATGGACTATGGATTCCTATTAAACCCCTTCCTAATGCCTTCATCATTAACATTGGAGACCTGATGGAGGTAATTTAGTAGATAATATGCTCTTAGGGAAACCTCTTAAATTGAAATAACTTTGTAACTTTTTTAATTACTTGTAAACATTGCTTTAGACACTTATCTTCCCAATTAATTTGACAGATTATAACTAACGGAATTTACCGAAGCATCGAACATCGAGCAACTGTTAACTCCAAGAAGGAGAGGATTTCCATAGCCACGTTCTACAACCCTAGTGTGGAATCAACTATAGGTCCAGCACCAAGCCTTGTTACTCCAAAAACACCAGCGGTGTTCAGAAGAGTTAGTTTCACAGAATACTACAAAGGTTACTTATCACGAGAACTTCGTGGCAAATCATTCCTTGACACCATGAGGATTCAAAATGGAAATGAAGAAAGCTCCTAGAAGAATTGAATATGCGATACAAAACTTGTATTTGACGTTGCCATGCACTTTAGTCAAAGCAACAATAATTGCATGATGTTTGGACAAAATAAATAAATAGAGGAGATTGTAAAAGCTATGTATTGAATAAGGTCTTACGTAAGCATATTAACATATCATATTGGGGGCCGGACTTACAAGCATATTGCATAGTTATAGACCGGATTTACTCAATTAGTTAAGTAATCTATATATGCACAGCTCTCCTAGGGTTTCCGTAAATAAAGGTGGCAAGCTCCACCTTCATGGTATCTAGCCATCTTATATTAACATGAATGAACTGAAAATTAGACGCCATCATAGAAACCTCCAGGCAATTCTTGTCCCAAAGGACCTATATACCACCAGAAAATCCAATGGCATCTCTTTTAAAATGACTGCTGAACCCTAGTTGCTTGATCTTTTTGTCCGCTGCCAGTCCACTAATTCGGACTTCCAACAACACCATGATTTGAATACTGTATTTACTCACCATGTCTCTAATAAGGAGACCAAAACCTTTCTTCTTAGCACCTCGGCAATTCCAACAAAAAATATTCATTAAAATAAATAGATAAAGCAAAAAAAGGAGAAGGACACCCGGTCCTTAACTAGGTGAGAAAGCAACTGCTGAGAATAGCCTCGTCTGCTGCTCTAGCTGCATCAGGATTCTCCTGCTCATACCTGCGCATCAGTACAATTGCATCCACTGGCTTTCTCCCCATTATCCTCTCACTATCCAATGTCTTTTGTCCGTTGACTTCGTCTATACAAGGGTCACAAATCTTGGAACCCGAGAATGTCGCTGTCAATCTGTCATTGTTTGGGTTCCCTAGCTTTGATTCTATAGCCACTGCTGCACCCACGCTTTCCTTAGCAGTAGCCTTGCTATGTCCTGCTTTATGGGGTTCGATTTCCCCTACCCCGTTAATATGCTTAACATTACCCCAGGCATTTCCTCTTTGGTGAATGAGCTCTTGCTGCCCTAAAGGAGTCAAACGGGATGCCACTCTTTCTGTCTGTTCTTTTCTTATCTCTGATCCAGAGCTTTTGGCAGCCTTTTGCCTATCATCAGAGCTTCGAGCTGCTTTCGGTTTGTCCTTATCGAGGTTTATCGTTGGAGCTTTCCCCCTTCTCCGGTTGTCCTTCACCACCGCACCCTTGGCCGTCCCCTCCGGTATCGAGATGTTCTTTCTACCCCTAGGTCCTCGCTTGACCACCATCCATGCCCCGAAGGCATCAGGTTCAGGTTTACTCTCTCCTGGCCTACCTGCATCTCCTACGCTGCCATGGACGTCACTATCCATCTGGACTCCACCGACGTCTTTGTTCTGAACCTGGTCTTGCCTTGTTTCTCCTTTGGAAACCTCTACAGTGTAGTCAATCCCCCCATTGCAAGCTTCCTTTTTGTGCCCGTAACGACCGCAAGCGAAGCAAATTCTGTGTAACCCTTCGTACCCTACGTTCAGGTACTCAAACTCCTGTTTAATGAGGTCCCATAGCTTAAACCTCGAGACAAAACTTCGGCGAAGGTCCACCTCAACGTAGATCCTGGCAAAACGAGCTCTATCCGTGATCTCACCCTCCATACCCTCTGCCATTCTTAGTGATGTTTTGTCCACCTTCAAAGTCCTCCCCTAGCATATTACCTACACTCCAAAGATGCTGTGAGGTGTAGAATTCTATTGGGAGGCCTGGAATCCTAAGCCAAACAGCTAGCCGCTTCACCTTCTTGTCATAGGGATCAAAGAATGGCTTCCATCGTTGGACGATCATGTAGTGATCCATAACTATCCACGGGCCCTCCTGAAGGACATGGGTGTAGTCACGTTCATCATCAATCTTAAGTAGTAAATGGCCATTATGCAAGTTAGTAATCTCATACGTTCCAGCTAGGTTCCAGAGTTTCTGTAATCTGGCAATCAAGAAACGTGACGCTATCTTCTCTCCCATCAGCTTTATAATGAGTGTCTTTCGCCATTTTTGCAGTCTTCTTGATGCTGTTTCCTAGAATAAACATATGTTGGACATAGTGGGTCATCTTCTCCACTCCCTACGTTGTCTGGAAAGTCCTCTTCCTCCGCCTCCTCTCTTCTTTGAGTTACTACCCAGTCCTCCTCCTCGCTATCATAATCTTGTTTTCCTCTGTTTAGGCAAAGCACTTAGTCTAGGTGTAACACCCCGTATATATCCGGTAATGTTATCATACTATCGTATTAAGCAGCGCTTAATTTAAAACGCGGAATATCTTTTTCTTTTCAATTATGATGTCATTATCATTACCAACTTGATTATTAATCAATTAATAAAATATCGCCTGTATGTAATTGCAATAAAATAGCTATCTGAATATACCTCATAATCATAGATAATAAAAGTGTGGCTCTGGTCATGGAACTACAACTACGTAGACCAGACCATCTAATAGTTTATACTACTCCAAATCAAAAGCACTAACATAAAGTGTCATGGACAATCCTCATGCTCACTCAAATAACGCAACATGCCCCACATCAATCTCAAAAGTAACGTAAACATAAATAGCGGAAAACATAAACAACATCCATATCCAGTCATGGCAGCAAACATCAATATCATCAACTAAGCTCTGGCCTCCTGCCGCCAGAGGCATCAGTCACCAAACTACCAGAACCTGAAATAAGCATTCCCCAAACGTGGGGTGAGATCTCTAAACAAGAAATCTCAGTAAAACAAGGGGTCCTCAAGGATCTTCCACCCCAAGCTCACTTACATGTGCAATATAAGTTTAAAAGCAGATATCATCATCAGTTCTAAAATAGTGCAATGCAGCAGATAATCATGTCATGTGTGTCAATTCTATTCCACTGGCCAGAGAAATGCAGGATTTATATACGTCTAATACCCACAAATAGTGCAAGACGCTACTTGCATTCACCCCGGATCACCATCTCGTATGACGCCACATACTCAGGTTTACCGTCAAGATGAAACAACACATGCATATTAAAAGCCATTACACATGAAGCTCAACAGCATTTCAAATATCCAAAGCATGTAACACAGCATGCATATAACCATACCTCCATGGGACATGGTGGAACCACAACATGGCTAAACCGAGGACACGAAAGCTTACCTTGCAAAGTAACACCCAAGGCCAAGAGTCCACAGCTCAAAGTCCAAACACAGCAGATTCACAATCTGTTATGGACCAATACTATATCAATAATAATGCAACACAAGCATATAACTTAAAGACAACGTCTTTCCTTACGTTTTACGTCTTAAGGCTCCATACCAAGCCATAAGTCCTTAATCACAACGATTCTGACTTAGTTCATTAATTACAGAAGTTCAACTTCATCAAACTAGGGTCCACAAACCCCCAATAGCCTACTGTACACATAGCACAGCTACTGTTCCACGAAATCCCAGAATATTCGGATATTCCTCGGGACCATATCCGGATATGCAATATCCGAATATCTCACTGTACATATCTGGATATGCAATATCCGGATATCCAGAATCCCATATCCGGATACTCAAAACCCATATCCGGATATCACATATCCGGATATTGTTCGGGCACATATCCAGATATTTCACGACAGAATGCAGAAACTGCATTTCGTGAAGATATCCTTCCAAGGTTGGGTTTTTACCGATTTTAAACACCTAAACATACATTTCTAGGTGTGCTCAACATTACCCAACAACAAGTTATCATCTTTCAGTCATTAGATGCATCAAGGTACCATTTTTAAGCATTTAAACTCAAGATCAAAGGTGATGAAGCTTACCAAAACTCAAACTCAGAAAAAGGGTGCTCTTGGAGCTCACACAATAGCTCGAAGGTTCTGACTTCTTCAAGAAATGAAAATGTAAGTTGAAGGTTGGTCCTTTCTCCACAAAGAACACACCTTGAAGCTTAACAAGTCAACTCCAAGGTTCCCACAACTCAACTCTCCAACTCAGCACTCAAAGCTGACTTCCAACAGCCTCTCAACTCAGAACACAACCTCTCTACACACTCACAAAGCCACGCACACAAGGCTCAAGTGTTTGGAGGTGAAGAAACCAAGCAAAAGGTGATTACTTGGCCAAGAAATGGAGGAGAAACTAGAGGCAAGCAACCATCAGCTGACCACCTCCTAACACTCACGCATGAGTCAGTTTTCTAGGGCAAAGTGCCCTTAATAAAGGTATTTATAGCCACTTACCCAATTAACACACAGTATTAACTTTAATTTCTACGCTTAGCATTTTAATCCCAAACTTTAGAATCTGAAACTACACAATTTTCCAAGAATTATCATATTTTTCTTATAATTTTCTGAGCACCTTTCCGGTACGCGCTTTTCAAAGCCAGTACCGGTTTCTAGCACCAGTTCTCATTATTTGGACTTGAAACTCGTTTTACAAGTCCTATATATTATTCTAGTAATTATCATGTACTTATTATAATTTTTCAGGATACTTTTTCGGTACGCATTTATACCGACTAGTAGAACCGGTATCTGCACTTTTCTTCCGAAAAGCGACTTTCAGCATTCTTACTCACTAATTATAATTATTAAAGCCTCATAATAATTATTAGGGTCAATTATGGAATTATTTCCTAATTTCACATAATTAATTAATTAAATCCCTTAATTAACGGTGCGGGTTCTTACACTAGGTATGACACCAGTTTTGTGTTCCTTCATGTGCGTACTCCCTTGCCCATTAGGCCTTCATCATGTTCGTCCCCGTCAACCTCTTCGACCACTTGTGGCCCCTTCTCTTCCATTTCTTCATCCATGGTGGCGTCCACGAATTCCTCACTTCCTTTGGCTTTTTTGCCATTCCGCTCCAGCTGTTCATACTCTACCGATTCCGGGTACTTCCTCTCTCTCTCTTTAGCCGTTGCAGTGGCTTTCTTAAAGGGGTACATCCCCAAGCTTCATCGGGGTAAACCCAGGTGGTGGGCGGAGAGTTAAGCGAGAGAAGTAAAAAAA